CCCGGCTCGCATTGTTTAGGGAGATTCTTTTTACTTCCCTGGAGAAACCCTATTTCGTACTTGTGTGATTCGTGCATCAACAGTTGGCGCGCCAGGTAGGGGGATAGCTCAGAGATTTCTCCAGTCAACAAAACGAGCCCGAGACAGCAAAATGGCAACAGATGGAAACCAGGGAACCATCACTGGTGTCCGAGACGACAACGCATCCTCCACGGGAGGAGAGACAGTGACGCCGACCCCACCAGGAGTACTTCCGAAAAGGAAGGCTACCCATACCTCGGTAGCTATTCCCGTATCGTTACCTCAGACGCCCGAGGGCCCAGCAGAAGCAGTAAGAAACGAAATGCCCCCGGCACACCAGGAAGAAGGCGAACCGACCTCTCCCAGCAGACGACGTCTAACAAACCTCGAGGAAACCCGTGCAGAACAGCACGCTGCGGCGCCAACTCCCGCCGAGCCAAACCGGCTGCTCCAGAACATCCTCGACCATCTAGGTCGACAGGACGCACGAACAGATGCTCGGTTCGCATCTCTAGCCGCGGCTAAAGCATTCTCCATGGACGAGATCAACCGTCTGAAAACGAGTCGAAGCGCAAATGCTGTCTACGCCCCAGAGCTCCCCGGACGTCCCCAGGCAGCTCAGCCCGTCCAAACAATGGGCATCACCAATCCGCGAGATACGGAGATTGCCGAACTAAGACGCGCTGTCGTGGAAATGAGCTCGAAAATTCACCGTGCCACTAGCTCGGCTCCGGAACTCGACCGCGTACTCGAGGAAACTCAGCAAACCGCTTTCACCCGAAGAATCACAAGCGTTTCCGTCCGCGGATCCAAGAAAATCAAATTGGAAAGGTACAACGGAAAGGGCGACCCTAAGGAATTCCTTTAACTTTTTTTTTTTTTGAATGAAAAAAATTCTAGTTAAGATATTTCCTTTAACTTTTTTTTTTTTTGAATGAAAGATATTTACTTTTACTTCATGAAGCAAGAGAGGCTTAAATGGCTGAAAAACAACTAGGAGTGCTAAAGGCACTCGATGTTGCGAAGACGCAACTTTATCATTTCACGGCGATTGTCATCGCCGGTATGGGTTTCTTTACCGATGCGTACGATCTTTTTTGCGTGTCCTTGGTCACCAAGCTCCTTGGCCGAATCTACTACTTCAACCCGACGTCAGCGAAGCCTGGCTCACTTCCCCCTCATGTTGCGGCCGCGGTCAACGGTGTGGCCCTCTGTGGAACCCTTTCTGGTCAACTCTTCTTCGGATGGCTCGGTGACAAACTCGGAAGGAAAAAAGTGTACGGTCTCACTTTGATCATTATGATCGTGTGCTCTGTCGCTTCTGGTCTCTCCTTTGGCCACGAAGCCAAGGGTGTCATGACCACCCTTTGCTTCTTCAGGTACAATTTTCATCCAACTTTAATATCATATACACCACATATAGTTAATCGATAATCTCATGGTGTATGCAAGTTTTTAAAATTAGTCACGCTTGAAACTGATAAAAATATTTAATATATAAACCATTATATAGGTTTTGGCTGGGATTTGGTATTGGAGGTGACTACCCTCTTTCTGCCACCATCATGTCTGAATATGCTAACAAGAAGACCCGT